CAGGAAGAGCTGATGAGTTTAAATGGACGTTATGACATCAGGCAGACACGTTATGGAAGAGAAAAGAGTCATAGTCAATGACTAGACCGCATTCCTGAGTGGCAGAAAAGACAGAACTATTGATAGCAACTGAAAGACCTTAGACACTCAAAAATAGTACCCCCAAGTGTCTTCCTTATTGGCTCATGACTGTAGATTTTTAATTTAAAAATTGCTAGAAAATGCTACAGAAAAAATAATTCTCAAGAAAATATACTAACACCAACCTCACTATTAGATTCATGACACACTTTTCCTCCAAAATACAATTTCTTCCCATATATTTTTTGTTCTCAACCTGATAGACTTCATTTTAAAAGTATTATTTATCTAATAATGCAATTTAAACTGTTATGGGTCATGTGTTTTTATATATTTATTGCCACATCCGTGCAGCTAAGAATTTTAAAAGCTAATTGAATTTTACCTTAGGACAAATAAATGAATAAGAAACACAGAATAGAAATATTTAGCCTACCACTTGTTATTTTTCCAGACACATTGTTTGGATATATCCTACTTCCTTTTTTTCTTTTCTTTTTAAAGTTTTGATACCCTCTGCATTACAGCTCCCAGATTAACACGCTGTTTCTTGGCAATATCAGAAAAAGCATCTACTGAATAGTAAAGCCAAGGTGGTGATAAACACAGCATCATTCATTCTAATTTGTGCACTACCCATTAAAAGCAGAGAAGCATGTGATTTTGCCGAAAAGTAAAATATCTGTGCTTTTAATTCCTCTCTGATTACAACAAAAATAGAAATAAACATGGCAATAATGAAGTTTAGCTATTCTTACACTTCTTACGTGAGTAATGATCTGAAAAGAGTGCTGAATAGCTAGCTGCAAGAAGTTTTACATCCACTTTGGCTCTCTGAGCCACAATAATATTTATAAGCAGGAACCAAAAGGCTTGAACACTGTTCTGTTCTGCTTTACTCAGTGTTGATTTTTGCAGTAGGCATGCCAAAACTCCTAACATTGCTTTCACCAGCCACTCTGCAACAAATTATATGTCCTTTAGCAAAGTTGTTTTTAAAAAGACACTGGCAATACACTTGGTTGATGATCACTTCCCTTAATCTAAACTGAAAATTGCACAACAAGGTAAAATAACCCACAACTTGAGAAACATTTACAGTTCCAATAAAAGTACACACAGAATTTCAAGCAAACAAGTTCCTGCATCTTAAGAAGCAGATAGCTTAGGTATATCAGCTGCATATGTTTGTGATCCTAACATGGTACAGCTGTGAAGTAAACCCCCTATTCTATTGTTTTAAGATATCTATCTTATCAGCCATCAATTGCCTTGTGTATCAGACAGGATTGTTGAGATAGACAGCAAGAGGTTTGAATAAACATTTTTTTTAATTAGCTCAAATTAATACATAATTCATTCTACTACTACTTACTGTTCTACAACAGTGTTTCTAGTATTATCATATTCTGAAAGTTCATAGCAACTACTACTGACATCTTTCAGCAGTAAAGAAAGAAGAGTCACGCATAACGCATTTTATACAGTCAGAGAACCTGAGCATTTTTGTTGCCATCCATATATCAGAATTAGAATTAATTCTCTTAGATGGTAGCCTAGATCTTCTAAATTCATGGAATCTCTCAGATTATGCCTGCTATTAATGAGACATGTAATATAGTCTCTGGACAAAGGTGTCACTTTCAAAATCTAGCTGTGTAATGTGCAGTTTAGCAAAAAGAATAATGGAAAAGATACGGCACGCAAATAGCCAGTTCGTTAGCTTAATGTGTTTGGGAAGCTGGAGAGCCTGTAACAAGCTAGTGGAAGATTTTCAGGTGCACAAATGTAACCTGTTGGGATTGAAACTAATTCTCTCTCTGAATTTTGTAGATTTATAGTACTGAGAGCAGACAAATTTATGAGCCCTTGTGTATTTTAGCTTGAAATGAGCTTCATGTTACTATAGTCTACATTTAAATACTCAACATTTCAAAAAAAACTTTTTGAAAATGCACATGTAAGCAACTTCATAAAAATCTTCAAAATCATCCATGTTCCCCCCTCTCCCAGACGCACTAACCACTTGTATCATAAATTACCATGGCACTGTTTAGAATTGTAGTCCAGATTACACATGTAGGGCACCAGGTGCAGATCTGCATTTTAACCATGCCAATGGTCAGAGATAACAAAAACTGGATGGAGCCAGCAGGTGCACAGGGCCCATGCACATACCCTCTGGTGACCTGTGTAGGAGTGGACCAGAGTAGCTGACATGAGAAGACCTTCCTTTATTTGTCCTAGGTAATCTGGAGTTTTGAGTTCAATTTTGACCTCTGAAAATGATCATTATCTTTGGACAGAGATCTAGAGTCCTGTGTTAAACATAATGGATCTGTTCAGACTTTTTTCAGGTATTTGTTTAGGACAACAGAGTGGCTCATCAGCTAGCAATTCAAAATACATAATGAATCACAACGTCTAAGCAGATTTTAACTTAGTCATTTGTTAAAGTGTGTGTGCTTGCAGCCTAATATCCATTAACTAGTAATGAAGATTGTGATTTTATAGGAGAGATAACACCCCAGTAGGTGAGTTTTCTGTAGGTGCTCTACTGAATCTTCAACTCAGAAACTGATCTTTTGTCTACCACAGTAGAAACTTGTGGGAGACAATTTCTTGCAGCCTCTTCTGTGCTGATTGCTGTTTGCTTATCTTTGGCGTCAGATAAAGCATTGCTGCCAACAGATTCTGTCAGTTTTCATAGCAGAAGTGTGTGGAGGATCAGGAGGACTTCAGTGTATAATTGTGCAGATTTGTAGCTCTCTTTTTTTTTCCCCTCCAACAGATCTCATCAAACTTCATCTGCCACTGAGATAAAACAACAGCAACGCTCTCAAAGCATTTTTCAGCTGAGAATCTCACATAGCTATAATATTTATTCTAGTAAGCAGTAGGCACACTTGTCTAAGATACACGTAACATGTAAGTTAAACATGTCACCAGAAACCCAGAAAAACTGTGCTGTAAATAAAGGAAATTGTAAATGTTAATATTTCAGTTAAATTTGGTACATACTACACGATTCAGACCAAAAAAAAATAAAAGAATGATGTTTATGTTTCCTTTGTTTAAGATTTCTGAAACAATTTTGCAAAACGTTAAGGACTAAATGATTAAAAAAATAACAATCCCAAAGAAAATCAAGCTGCCTAAATATATTTTGTATGCACCAGAAAATGTTGGTGAAACTAAAACTCATATTTTTGACACATGACCTACTCATAGTTGTGTTTAGAGACATCTTTAACACAATTAATTTACCTTCTTTAAAGTTGCTCATAGAGAATTACTCAACATTTTTTTTTTACTATCAGAAGTCTATGATGCCATTCAGTTTCAGAAGTCTCACTGGTTATTTCTAAACCTTACTCCCTGCAGAAAGTCTATTTTATGACATTTTCTCACAGTGCTCTTGAAGTGTCATCTGCTTGGAACTACTAAGTCTTTTTTATATTCACCACAGAAAGACTACGAGGGTACAGTATCCTATTGAATGAAAATTAAATTACTGGCACAAACAGAACAAGAAAAAGACTGCAGAGGCACTAGAGCTGAAAGAAGAGGTATGGAAGTAAATATTAGCAACATCAGTTCCATCAGCTGAGGTTCCCCACGAGACTGTACAGTAACCCAATCTGTAGCTGGCTACATGACTTCAACACCTCCTGGAGAGATCCCATACTAGAGGACTACACCACATCCAGCCTATACATGCTCGGCAGGAATGTCTAAAGCAGCTCATAGCACAAAACAGATATATTACATTATGGTACCTTCACATTTCAAATATATATTTTTTTTTTTAACCCATCTGTTATGTACAGGGGAAAAAAAATAAAAGCAAAATACAACTACTCTTTTTTAGCATTTATATAAGGCCACACACAAAAAGATATTACCTTCATGAGAAATTTCTTTCCATGGATTAGGTGGATACATGAAAGCAGCATTCTGGATTTGGTCATGTATGTCTTCATCTTCATTGAATGGAAAGGTACCACTAAGGCTTACATAAATGATAACCCCCACAGACCACATATCCAGAGATCTATTATAGCCTTTGTTTCTCAGCACTTCTGGAGCAAGGTAGGCTGGTGTTCCTACAACTGAACGTCTAAAAGATTTCTCTCCAATAATTCGGGCAAAGCCAAAATCACAAAGTTTTACCTGTTTAAATAAAAATGCTATAGTAAGAGAGACATTTTTATTAACAAATACATAGTTGAGGAGTTTTTTTATCATGGTTTAGTTGCAAGATGCATCTCTACTATTCCTTCATGGATACTTTTTTTTAAGCTCCTCTTTGAGAGAAGTGGTTTACCTATGGCTTTCTCCTAAGTCAAGCAAGTTGGCAAAATTTAGTTCTTGAACTTCTGTTTTTATTTTATTGTGGAACTAGTTTCATGCTGCCTCTTTACAAACTTCTTCATCCGATTTCTTCAGAGAGACAGGTTTAGCTGCTTAAAAATTCTCACTTAAAGCCTCAGTATAGATCCTTCCTTTATTGATTATTGATATTGGTATTATTTACAAATTATCAATAGTGCTCATTTTGAATATGGGGAGTTGAAGGACATTATAGATGAACTTTGCACAGCAGAGATAACAGGAGTTGATGAAAATATGTTTATAATGAAAATTACAACAAGCCAGAAAGCATATTTAAATTATCCTGCAATCTACCTTGCATTTAAATTCATAAAACTAAAGAAGAAATCCTTGTTCTTCATGAGTTCTACCCTAATTTTCAGAAAAAATAACTGTCTTTCCAGTGACTTGTTGCAAATTGTCACTTATCTGGACATTTGTGCTGCAATGGTGAGCAAATCAGAAACAACTGCACAAATAGTTACGTTACACTAGCTCCTGGAGGAGATACCGACAGGTCACTAATCACATTTTTGTTTGTCTGGGGTTTTTTTTGTTTTGTTTTGGTTTGGTTTGGTTTGGTTTGTTTGTTTTTTTTTGTTGTTGTTTTTGTTTTTTTTTCATAAAACAATAATTGCTAACACGTCTTTGTTTGAACAATTTATCGTAAGAAAAGGCATTTTCTACTTGCCTGTGGGAAAGGATCAGCTGATGCTAATAACACATTTTCTGGTTTGAGGTCACAATGAACAATATTTTTGAAATGAAGATGTCTTAAAGCAACAAGGATCTGTGAAGAAACAATCCGAAAGAAATTCAGGTTTAAATGTTGTACATTTTTATTTGTTTGTTTTATATTGTTCAGACAGTGTCAGTGATCAGAGAAGCAAGGACTGGTATAGAAATAATCAAACATGAATAAATATTTTACAAGAATGTCTGCAATGGGGACAAAAAGAAAAAGCAAAACTGTCAGCTATTATTTCCCTAACCTCAAGTTTCCTTCATTTCTCACTCTATGGAATATGATTTTTCTCTCTCCAAAGACTTTATATTCTAAACATTTTAAAAAATCTGATTCTAAGTACTTGTTTACTTTTTTTGTGAGTGAAATCTTTGGACTCAGAAAAATTTCAAAGTTACCTTCCAGATCTAAATTCACAGAAATATCATGTCATCCAATTTAAGCATTTTCTTTGAGGAAAGAAACCATAAGGAGCACTGCATGTATTTTTATACTCTTACACAGGAACATGGCAACAGAGTGTAAGAGATAACCATCCTATTCCCATAACTTTAACTCTGTTCCTTCTGTCTGGTGCAGAGTTGGCAAATTTTCCCACTATATTAGAGAAGGGATGGTGAGGAGGTTGAATGAACCTGGGAAGGTAAGAAACAAAGTTCTGAAGCTGGTGGCAATTTTGCCCATGAAAGCCCGAAAACTAGGGAACCTGCTAGACTGTACTCCAAAATGGTAAACTTCCACCATAACAATGTTTTTCCTGCTCCTTTCTTTTTCCTGACTGCTGAAACACTGCTGGCTACTTTGAGTCAGCTCACTACTCAGTTGTGTATCTAAATTTAAACCAGCATTATGGGCAGCGAAAGACACAATATGATAATATGACAACAGGAAGAACAAAAAAACCCCACCCAGATCACATTGTTAAGACAAGCCATACAGGAAACCAGACACATTGAATCAGAAAACACACACAAAAGTTCATAGGACAAACTGCAATGGTTATGTACAGGGCAGTTAAAGAGGTTCAAATTTCTTTGCCTAAGTCCTTCAACAATTTACTCTTAGTGCTTTGCATCCTGTTCTTGTGCTTAATTCTTCAAGCATATATGAAACTGTACCTTGATGGCCCTGCCATCAAGCAGCCAGATTACTGTACATGTGTCTAGTTGTAGACCCTCCTAATGGTTTACTACCTATCGGATAGTATACGCAAAGTTCTTGCACTGCCCCTGATATTACAATTCAGGCTTTCATAAATCAGACAGGTAAATTATAAGTAAAACATAAGAAACAATGCCAATAACTGACCTCAGACCTCCTTCTAGGTCTATCATTACTTTCTTACCTGAGTAATTAAAAACTTTGTTATTCTCTCTGGCAATCTGCCCTTTTCACTTGATAAGATCATCTCCAGCATGTCTCCATGGAGTTTTTCCATATCTTTCTGGCGTCTCAAACATACACTCCAGATTTACAACTCCAGGATGATGAAGATTCTGTTGAAGATAAATTCAGCATTAGATTTCCCAAAATGATCATTAGGTTTTACCACTACACAGACAGTCTTCCAACTCCCTTAAACCAGACAACATTTTAAGGTTTCAGAACATAAACTGTGTGCCTAACTTGTAGGCAACAGGCACAAAATTTCTAGGGACAGTACAGGAGAATGGATGACCTTCAAATTAGTTTAACAAATACACATTTTCCTTGCTGTGTTTGGTGCTGAACAAACGTTTGGCCTTGGCTGTTTACACAGATTAAACAGCAGAATTACTAGTATTTTTGCAAAACTACTAGTGATTATCACTTAAAATAACTATCATATTATCTGGTATTTACAGAAACATATAAATGGAGTTAATATAGTAAGAAAAAATTTAAAAATACCTGTAAAATTGCAACTTTATGATTATCAGTTAAAATAACTATCATATTATCTGGTACTTATAGAAATGTATAAATGGAGTTAATATAGTAAAAGAAATTAAAAAATACCTGTAAAATTGCAACTTCATTACGAAGTTGACTTTCCTGTTTAGTTGGAAACCTTAGTTTGTCAATTATTTTAATGGCAACATCTCTTCCCGTTTTGCGGTGTTTTCCTGCATTAATAAAAGAAAAGGTCTCTAGCAATTAACATTATTAACTTTGAAAAGTGTTCCAGTTTCACAGGGCTGTACAAATGGACACAACGAAGTAATTCTCAGAGCAGTTTTGAAGCAAATTAAAATCACTAAGTCACTAAAAGTTTTCTCTCGTGTCCCTTCTTTCTACTCTTTGGCAGAAACTTCTTAAAATTATCATCTGACAAAACTGGCTAAACACATAAGAAATGTACAAATATGAGAAAGTCACGACTACATTTCAACAGTATAAATGCAAAGTTAGCTTTCTCATATACAAATATACACACATACACACATATGCTTGGTTATATATTTAAGTTGCATTCTCTGCAACTGGCAGGTTATGGGCTTAGTCCTTTGATAGTAGCTCCAGATTAGCAAATAACAAAATAAGTGTGAGTGCATGTTCCAGATTTATCAGAGAGCCATAGAGATTCCTCAGTCGGAAATCTGCTGTTAGTTCTCACTTCATGCTGTCTCAAACAACAGCTGTGCCTAAGTATATGTCCGAAAACTGCTTTAAAAAGAGGAGGAAAAAGAGAAAAAAATGGATAAGAAAATTAAACAAATTACAGAAATACAAAGAAAAAAGCTCATCCAAACATACCAAGAAAAACAGCAGGAAAAAATATTTTTTTTCTTTTCTTCATTACAGCTCACAAAAATAACAGTTTTCTACACTTCAGTGTTTTCTTTCTAGAACTTACAGAGAATATGAAGCTATCAATATACACTGACTCACTATTGGGTAGAAAACTTCATATTACAAAAAGACTGTCAACAAAACCCACTTTCATTGTCTAGTGAATACTGCTCATAAAAAAAAATGGGATAATTTCTGTAACATTTAAGAGTCTAAATACTTTCACCATTCAAGAAATTTTCTATCTTAAGCATAATTGTACAACACATCAAACCCTTACCTCCATAAACAATTCCAAACTGTCCTGATCCCAATACCTCATCTGGGAAGATTTGGTATACAGTGCTAATATCCTGTTTATATAAAACATAACAAATATTAAACCCTGATATATAGAAACAAACTTTGTATTTAATTTGCTTTTTCTAGAGGCAAGTAGCATACATTTAGTACATTGCATTTCAAAATATATTATCTGCCAAAAACATTAATGCAAGTTTTCTTTAAAGCCATGTTAACTGCAATTGCTGTGAAAGTTGCCAAATTTTTGGTAGGTTTCAGCCACTGCCTTGTTCCAGGCAAGCAGTCCCCAGTGCAAAGCATTACACTCTGTGGGATTTGACAATGAAAGTGCAGATGGAAATTAAGAGGGTCTTGTTAGCAGTATTCTACCCATTTGTCTCAGGATCCCAAATCTATAAATTACTGCTGAGTTTTATGAAAAGGGAGAAAATCCAAATTTTACATTTTCTTGAACGTGTTAGCTTGTGTCAGTCATAAAAATGCAAGTGGTTTCTTTGTTTATATAAAGCTTTGTGACTAACAGCAGTTCTGGACTTTTGGCTGAGAAGGGTAAAATACTCCATCTGTGACAAAAAGAGAGAGTCTCACATGTTTAGGCACTATTTTTTAGTGCCTAAACACAGGCTAAAGCATAAGCTGTTAGCAGGTTCATTTAGGAGATTAAAACCTCAAACCTTGGAGCTCAGTTTCATTTTCCTGATATTTAACCAGCAACATATACAAGGAAGGCTATAAGAGTGCCAAGGAGTCGATAACAAAGGCTCTCTTGCTTTTTATTAGGAAACAAGTGGACACAACCCTAGCACGCAAATCTTTTTCTGGCAAATACCAGACCTGCCCCAAATCTTTATTTGTCTGCAAGGAGTCCTGTTTATTTTATCTGCCCAAGAGAGAGAAAACCAGTGGTGTGGCCATTTACCTTGACTGCATGTCCTGTATTTAACAGTCCTAGTGTAAAAGAAACCCAGAATTCTCTACATACGTGTAATAACATACATAGCTCTTCCTTCTGATAGTTTTCTCTTTAGAGAACAGAGAATATCTGACCTCTCAGTGATGACAGGAAATGGTATCTTTCTCAAGCCTTATGACTAGCTTTATGAAGTTCAGTTGGCAAATTCCACAAACTAATAACCTCTATAGCTCATTTCTCCTTTTGGTAATTAACATCCTGCAAGGATCCGCAGTTAAATTCTGTTTTCAGTGAAATCACCTGCATGTCATTCTTGTGTCTCAAGAAAAGGTGCCATGAAGATGATTTTTCGGAAGAGTTAGCAGAGCTAATTGTTTGTTAAATTCTACAAAGTAAGCAACAAATGGCTGGTGGGAACTCCTCTAACATTCCTCTTTGCAAAACAGATCAATGACTTTGCAAGCTTAATCATAGCATGTCTAGCACCCGCATCCAGAGAACGCTCACCACGTTTTCTTGAACTTGGCAGTTTGACACAGAAATACTGATGGATATATCCCCTAGGGAAGAAAGTAAAATACACTTTAGATTGCTGTGCTTTTAGCTTGAACATGTAGTAATAGGAAATGACATTTACATTACATCAATATCTACTGACAGCTCTAGAAATTGGACCAATTAGGTCAGCTTGTTCATCTATCTGCCAATATAAATTTACAACAGCCCACAAATATGTGATTTGAACAAGAGTTTTGCAGTGTATGGAAAAGAACAGAATTATACATTTAATTATCAATTTTTTAAGAGTGGTATCTCATAATTCCCATTTATAAGTTTATTATTGCTGTTTCCATTCTATTTTGGAGCTTTATACTTCATACAAGTAACATAACTGCAACTAGGGTACACTTTTTATTGAATGGATTTAATAATAATTTTTATTTATAGTGTCAATATAGTTGACACTGTTCACATGAAGGCCAACACACATTCAAATTTGTCTGCATCCTGTTAAAATACATATTTCAATTGGCTTAAGAGACATTATTAAAACACATAATGGAAACAAAAACTTGCACTTGTGCTTTGATACAACAAACATCGCAACCTCTACAACTTCAGTGCTTAGAATGTTGCCCTAAGCAGTTTGAACTGCAAGCCTACTGAGAGGTTCAATAAAATGTAAGAACGTGCCTACTGCTAGCTGTATTACACAAAGACGTCATATTGGGGAGGATAGAACGTTTTTTTGGAGCATTGCCGCTTCTGTCTCCTGCCTCTGTCTAGAAACCTGCTCATGTTGACTTTTCAGTTTCTCCACATGGATTTCAGCCTCATCAAAACCAGTATTGTCTACTATAAAGTCTGTACTACACACTGAAGACACTCACTGCTACCCATCAGCACCTCTCCTGGTTGCTCTAAGTAGTATGAGTAACTTCTGCCCCATATGGCTTACTCCCTCATCCTTTTCTTAGGAATAGACTAGGTTTGGAATGGAATATTTAAGTTTCTTGAGGCTTTTTATCATTGCCAATTTGTTTTCAAATGTATGTACTGCTTTGTGTTTATATGAAAAAACTGTGGACAAAGACATGGACAAGCCTTATACTTTGAGCAGAAGAGACAAAGTTGCTATCATTCTCATTCCCCACAGGAATTCACTCTAAAGGTCTCTGATGACCTTAGTTTTCACACAAAAACCCCAAAGATAACTACCAACTTGTAAAGAAAATTTTCAAACTTCCCAAGGTGGAGAAAAAACAGCTGTCAGTCCCTGTCCAGTATTTTATGTGATTTCTTCAGCTACACTGGGCTCAAACCAAGGGCACTAGGCAACAAGCCAAATCGAAATGACATCCAGAATTTGGCGCTATTTTATGCAGGAACACAGATGAGAAAGCAAAGGACAGACATGATCTAATCTGATATGTGAGCTGTTGTGCCTGGAGATGCAATGCCACAGCCTGTTGTATTACTTGGTCTCTGAAGGGCCTGCCGTCTCATTAGCATTTCGCACTGCATTAATAGCATCCAGATGTCAAGTGCTAAAACGGGTGTATATTGCAACAAAAGGTCTAATCCAAATTGTGTAGACATATTCAAATTTGCTTTACACTGACTAGGCTGAGTACAAGTAGCAGAGTTACCAGAGTAACACATGCCTAATAGCGAGGAATTGTTTGCTCTGTGCTACTTGGTTATCAGTATCTGAGCTAGATTTAAATGAGTTTCAGGTTTAGTTTATATAAGCTACCATCTTTGCTAGAGAATTACCCAAAGGTATGTGAATTAGAGGCAAAGACATATATTCAGTCCTTTTGCTCCTGGATAACATTCATGTCTTGTTGTGCTTAGAACAGCTGTTCTTCACACTTGAGCTCACTTCATCTCAGCACGGGACAATGTGGCAGTTGTATAGCCAAATGCGGATGAAAGGGAGTATATCATCTATGCTACAGTGACCTAAAGAATGAAGATCTGCTTCTGCAGATAGCTAGAAACATAAATTACAGTCACGATGGGAAAAATCTATCAATTCCCAACTGGAGCTCAGAAAATTTCATTCCTCCACACAAGGAAGCTATTACTCATGTCAGCAGGACAAATGTGGCTGAGATGGCTTACTAATATAACAACTATTTCCTCACTATCAAATCTGCATCTCGTATATTCGTACAGGTGTTCCAGTATAAACTAGAAACGCAAGGATAAGAAACTGCGTTGTGCAGAATAATGTGCTGACAGGTAATATGCCCTGACAGAACAGCCTTTACTAGCTGAGCAATAATTCTTTCAACATGTGCAGAAGATTGAGCAATGTCATTTGTGATATGACTCTACTTATCTGAAATGGAGGAAATGAATAAACTTACTGTGCAGGCTGGGTCCTGACCCTGTTGATGTCCCTTTAGGGATGACAGGCATCAGGGCGTGCTGTATTGCCATCTCCCACATTCGTGCCACGTCGATGCCAATACCACTGGTGATAACACTGTTATTCAGGGGAACACTTGAGAGGTTTTCTATGTTTTCTCCAACGTAATAGACTATATTTGCTGTGCTTATTTCAAAACAATGAGGATTGGCTCCTTGAGGCAGCAAAGTGAAAGTTTTTGCAGGTTCCAGAGACAAAATTTCAGATAATGGGATTTCCTAAAATTAAAAAAAAAAAAAATACTTTCCCTGTAAAAATTATCAGAACATAAAACTATAGCATAAACTTTATTTAACTGATTTATGATACTAGCTGTTGCTTTTAACCACATGCTTCTTGCACAAACAATAAGGCTCTTGTAATCTGAAACTCCATGACACAGAGTACTGTTGATGGTAAAATACTAAACGTTTCTTTCCAAGACCTTAGAACTTTAATTATTTAATTAAACTTATGAAACAGAGCAGTGAAATGCCATCAGACATAGCAGGACCATCCATATATCAACAGAATGCCACTAGAAAATTAAAACCTGTTGACTCCTTATTTAATAAAATTTGTCTGCAATTAATTATTTGCAGAATAAATCTATTCAAAATTAAGATTCGAAATCCACCTTTTACATAGGTGTAAACTTGATTGTGTCATCTTGAATAACACCTGAGGCACATTTCTCTGACGTATTTCCCTAAGAGGAAGCCATATGAAAAAAATACTTCTCATTATTGAAATTTATTGCAGCAATGCCTAAGGACTTCAATTGTGTCAGGTAAAAGGATACAAGCATTAAAACAACATTTAACAATCAAAATCACAACATGAGAACCAAAGTACAGAATTAAAATAACATACACTATATCTAATCGTTTGGAAATAATTTGCATTATGAACAACTGAATGTCAGTTGAGCTTCTTGGCAGAATTTGCTGCTGGTACTGAATTGCCCCTGTATGAAAACTTACCACTTCCACAGCATGCATTTTACACATCCGTGTTAGTTGACACCTTTCTGATCTGACACTTGTTTGTGAAAGGCAAAATATATAAATGCAGCTTAAATAATGAAAACAAACATAGATCAAAGTTATACTACTACTACACTTTTAGTAAGCATCTATTAAAAATACTCCTTACTTTGTAATATTTGCTTCCAGTATCATTTTGGAAAAGCGTAATGCATTTGCTGTCCAGTCTCCAGTAGTGTCGTTTCCTCTGCAGAGAAAAACAAGGGAAAAAATCTTTCTAGCATTTACCAAGTAAATTAATGAACTGGTCGTTTCTCAAAAGCATCACTTCCAAAATGTTTTGCTTAAGTTTGAAGAGACGAATTGTGATTGATAAAGATTAATTTGCTATTGCAAGATTTTGTAAAGGAATTTATATTTGAGTGTAGGACTTATAGGGCCACTGCTGTTGTTTCAGAATAATCTAACTCTGTCCAAGTTTTAAAAATTGAAAAAGTAATTTCAATATCTGCACTACATTCAGCACAATTTGCTACAGGTATGCTGCTAAAATAATTAAATATTCTTTCTGTATCACTTATAACACCCCAGCTCACTTTAGAAACTTTAGAAAGTTTCTAAACTTTCTAAAAGTTTAGAAACTTTTATTTTCACTTTTGTAAAATAGAAAAATCTATTTTACAAAAGTCAAAATTCACCTAGCAGTAAGATATCTAGCAGGCCACAGCATGAAGGTAAAACTACTTTCCAGAACCCTTAAAGTGTTAACATTATTTTTCACTTTTTTTTCAGATTGTCTCCACATTTGCCTGTCTAGGCTAATGCAACTGACATGTTCAGGTATTTTTTATGTTTTAACTGTCTCCTGTTTTTTCACAAGCAATGCCAGTCCTCAGTTATGACAGGACTCAGGACTTTACGAATCACGAATGCTGCAAAAAAATGCCTTACATGAGTGACTCTAAATTATCAAAGTATTGTTAGGACTTGATTCTGTACTATCATATAGTATGTACATTAAGACAGGTCGTCCTTAACATTTCTTACCAGTGTGTCCTTGCTTGTATAGTGAACCATCCAACCCTCCTTCATTACTGCACTACTTCTCCTTTTTGTGTGCTTCACAGATTGTACCACTCTCATTAATGGAATATTGTTGCTGGTTGAAGGGCTTAAGAATAAATCAATAAAGGCTTTTAAAAAGAAGATAATTTTGGATGAAAAGAAAAAAAATGTTTTACAGCAGAATACATATATATATATATATCTCCAATATCATATTTATATTACCACCACTATCAGATCTGAACTGCACCCTATTTTGTTTTGTCATTCCAAGTATCTTGATATTACAAATACAAAAACAATGTAATACTACACTAGGAGAATGACAGAGACTTTCTGAAGGCTTACACACACATAGCTCTCCCATAAGTATTCTTAAAAATGAGCTAAGAAGATGGTCAAATAGCTAGGGCCTCAGCTGTAGGAGACACAGCTCAAGCCCCTGCTATGCATGATTCAGACCAGTACTTGATCCTGAATCTCTCATAACCTAAGTAAACATTGTCTATCAAATAACTGTCCTGTGATCTTTCTCGTGTTCAAACACACAATGGAATGATGATGGTTTACAGAGTAAAAAATGTGTCAGCTGCCTAGCTGAGAATCTGCACAGCAGAGAATCTGCTGGAACTAAAGAGGCTGAAGCTAATGTATTTTATTCTCAAAGACCTAAAGCAAGTCCCATTGCCTTGCACTCTGGGATACGCATGAAACTTTCCACAGCTTGGCTAACACGTGGTAAATCAGGAAGGCATGGGAATCTGACAGTGTGCCTGAGAGCTCCATCAGATAAAAACTGGATTATCTAGTTGGAGAGGTATAAGAAGTAACCAAGCCCATCTTCCCACTTTCCTTACTGTTAAGGGTTAACCATTCCTTAAACAGATTCAGTGTAATGGAATATGGACTCATAATCTGCTTCAATCTTAAACCTAAATACTTTCTTATTTCTTGTAGAACTTTAAATGGAGATGCTGAATTGTATATGAAAACACAGCACAGAGCTCATGTGTTCTCCTGGCAAAGCTACTGGTGCAACAGTTCTAACAAAAAAAAAAAAAAAAAAAAAAAAAAGGGTAGAAACTGCCCAGGACAAGAGTCATAGCTTAAGTTTCCACAGTTGTGACTGCAGTTGTCTGCAGATGGCCCTGCTTCACTGCAATGCATCCTGGAAATAAGAAACATTTTATGAATTAGCAATTTCCAATCAAAATGCAAAAAGTGTGCTCTCTTAAAGTTTCATTAAGACTGTAACATACAGTTAATATCTCTGCCTAAAAAGTATCAAACGAGCTGTGGTTCCTGTTTAGCTACTCTTATGTGTACTGACAAGAGACTGATTTTTTTTATTTGTCTCTCACAGATCACATAAAACTAATCTACAGATGTGGAGAATAGCCTTAAAAAAAACTGGGGGCAAGTATTACTGGAAATACAGGGATGGCCCTCAACTAAGTAAAACATGTACTTGGCTATCTTTTTATCAGTTATAATTGGGTATTTATATTTTGAAAACCTGCCATGTTGTATATTTAATGCAACTGGGACATTCAAACTATTAGATGATAATAATTCTGTGATATAAGCATAGGTTTATATTCCAGTAATACAAGATGTCTATATATGATGCCTATGTAGATGAATATGACAGTACAGAAACCAGTTCATTGCTATGGAAAGTACAACTGCATGTTGCTGAAATGAATTGCTTTCCACCAGTGCAACACGCACATGTTAGTAACAGAGAGCTAAGGGGAACACGTTACTGATAGAGACTCCTAGTAAGTAAAATAAAAGAGAAAATTGCAAGTTAAACCGGGACTTGTGGAAGAAAAGCATTCTATAGTTCTTCAAGGTATTGATCCTCTACATCAAGGACATTTCAGCTGAAAGGATCTTAATTCTTTTTAGGTTCCCCTACAATGAATAATCCCTACTTCTTTTCCTACTGTTCTCTACAGTTCCAATAAGTGAATAATGTTACCTTCTCTTGAGACACTTCTCAGGTAACTTGCACAATTCAATTCCTATTTTCCTTCCTGACTGGTCACTTCATAACCACTAATAGTAACTTGCTTCTAAGTGCTACTTCAAGTCTGTTAAACTTTCCTTCTAAAAGTATCTAAAAAGACAAAGACTTAATCTAAAACAAACTATATCATAGCTACTCAGACATTTTATTTTCAGATATTGCACTATTAGCCAGGGGAAAAATGCTTGGAAAAATAAGCAAGTAAAAATAATATAATTGCTCTCTATTGTTCATGCAGAAATAGTTTCACAACACAATTTTCAGAAGAGAACAGGTCTGTAACAAGTACTTGTACATTACTTTTCAGTTGTTAATTCAACTTGACAATAATCTTTAAGCTTCTCTTAAATTCCTATTGCATATATTCAGTGAAGCAATTCCACTGCAATTTCAGAACTACCACATATCACTAGCTCTCCCCATTCTCAATGATTGAGAATAGTGTCCAAGTTGATTCCACCTTGAGCCCTAGACACATTTCTTACAAATAAATTCAGAAGAAGATGGAAGGTACACCCACTCCTCAGCTCACCTGATCATCCTGTTAGACTCATCGTGATCCGGATCAGCATCCTGCATTTCCCCGTTGTCGCTATGGCATCCTATCATTGACATCTCAGAATCATGAGCAATAGATTCTTCCATGTCATCTATAAAACCACTGTTTCTTTCACTGTCATTGTCATCACTCCCTTCTTCCATGACCACATCAGACTCAGCCCCAGGACTAAGAAGATCTGTAAAGAAATTTCTCAAGCTGTTATTTGAAAATATACAGTACTCCAATCACAGCATCCAGACACATTTTGAGCTTCAGATAAACTAGCATTCTCTTTGGAATTCTATTGCCTGGGTCTATCTCTACTCAGTACTATATGTGTAATGGTGAAGCGTGGTTTTACTAATCATTTAGAACATCACTGTAGAAAACTTGAAATGCATCAAACCACAATATTTTCAGAAAAGCAACTTTCTATTAAGGAATACCAAAGTCAAAGAAGAGATCTGTGGCCTTCTATCAAACATTCTCTATTCATAAGCTTTATTTCTGAGATCTTCTGGCAGATTTTCTAAACAACTTTAATGTTTGGTACTGGCTTGATGGCTGTTGGAGGATACAGACGCAAACTGATGCTAATAAGCAGTAATTTTGAATTTAGGAATTTTATAATATGATGATGACACAATGATGAACTATTGAAATAAATCCCAAGAAAAATACTTATAATGTGAACTATATTTTGAAGGACAAAACGTATTTCCTTTGCATGAATGTTCTCAGTGAAGACTGCACAATATGGCACAGTAATCCACACTATTGAAATAACGCTCCCTCTGCCTTTAGAAAAGAAATATTAAAAGGGAACAGAGACTTCAGATTTCACTTATTCATACATGGCATAGTACTAATAGTGTCTTCCAGCCTTTATTTAAATTATGCTAAATTTTCTGGTTTGAAGATTAGGTATACCTAAGAAAGACCAAAGCGAGACATAGCTTTTTGTTGAAAATCAGCCTGCTGCTATACAGGCTGTGATCTAACATTTCAAAATCATCAGCCCTGTCAAACAGTGAAGACAGCATTAGTTTTTATGTGATGTTTGCAGTGTTTCAGAAATTTGAAGTAAGGTTAAATCACATGAAAGACACAAAATAATCTTATTGAGAAATTTTTGCCTAATCTTGTGGAGAAAAGTTCTTGACAGTCAGCGTACATGATGTCTCAAAAGAAAAAGCACACTGTTGGCTGACAGCAAATGTTTTGAACTGATGGCATTTCACTCAAATTGGAAGTGCACAGCTGAAAGGTTGGTTTATATGTAGTGGAGTCTTAAAATATTTGGGTAGAAGTTACTGATGTGTGATTAAGACACATCAGTCTTCATCTCTAGTAGAAACAGTCAAGTCATGAATGACACTTTACAGTTGCAAAGCTGGCTCTTTGCTATTCCTATAACACTTTTTAAAACTCTATTTTTAATAAACCCACAATCAGTTAAAAATAACCTCCTACATTTAGTTTATAATGTGTTTATTAAGGAGACCATACTTTAATTTCTATTGCTTCAGCTCTTCCTTCACTTAGTAGTTTGGGGAAGATATATCACACAGCAGATGAACAGAGTAATAGATACTGTATTTTATTTATTAAGTTTGAAAATAATGTGAACCAAATTACTATAAAAATAGAAATGAAATACCAGGATGAAGTTGCCTTTGATAATCCTGAGGACCCTATATGAGCCATTTAGGACACACAATTAAGAGTTCTACTTTGACACTGTGAATACCATATTGTGGATATTGTGTGGTGGGGAAAAGCCAAATTCTATAAATTTTAGGATGGAGAGCTTCAAGGAGTAAACTTGGAGTAAGCTTGGAGAACGTGTTCTCTCTGTAAGTGGCTTTGCACAAGCTTTCCTCACTCAGCTCTTCCTCAGACAAACCCTCATTTCCCATCAGCCTGGCATCAGAGTCATGTAGGAGGCAAGTCAACAGAAGTAGCATGTTGTTTGTGGGTCAAAAGTGAGGCAGTGGCATAGAGGGTGTGTTGGAGGGATGAAACACAGCTGATTCATGTGGAAAGAAGGAACTTCAAAGAGTAATTAAAAAACAAATGTCTATTTTGTTTATTTAGTCCAGATGTCCAGAAACAAGGCTTGCCTTCCTATCTTCTCTTAGGACTTTTTATCAATCTTGTTTTGCACTCCTCGCTAAAACTGCACCTATGCAGGAAAAATGGTATTTATAAGTAGATTTAATTATTTTCTCCAACTGCAAATCTCAGGGAGAATTCTATACTGGTACCAGTGGAATTAACGTATCATGGTGTAAGTTTAACTCTTGGATTTGAAAATCAAGCCATGGACTTCCATAAGCATCATTACTTGCATTCATGAAGAAATAGTTATGTTATGGGATGGTTATATGGTTACTATGTCCAATACTGGACTCCCCATTTCAAGAGAGACAGAGAGCTACTCAAGAGAGTCTAGTAGAGGGCTACGAGGACGACTGGGGGACTGGAACACCTGCCATATGAGGAGAGGCTGAGAGACCTGGGGCTTCTTAGTCTGGAGAAGAGAAGACTAAGGGGGGATCTAATGAATGTGTATAAATATATGAGGGCTGGGTGTCAAGAAGAAAGAGGCAACCTGTTTTCACTTGTACCCTGCGATAGAACATGGGGCAAAGGATACAAGCTGGAGCACAGGAAGTTCTACCTCAACATGAGAAAGAACTTCTTTGCTGTAAGGTTTCCAGAGCACTGGAACAGGCTCCCCAGGGAGGTTGTGGAGTCTCCTGCCATGGAGACTTCTAAGACCCATCTTGATGCATTCCTGTGTGACCTGCCCTACACTAGATGGTTCTGCTCTGTCAGGGGGGTTTGATTCAATCTTTGGAGGTCCCTTCCAACCCCTAACATTATGTGTGTCTGTGTGTTATAGTGAGGTATAAATGGTATACAGACTTTAAAAAAATAATAATCCTGACTCCAAGAGTCCAGTTTGAGGTGCATCAGGAAGCACATGCAGTAGGAGTGCAACATCAGCCTTCCAGAAAATCAGGCACTTTATCACATTTCAGTTTGGATACTCAGCATCTGAAATGTTTTTGCTTATACTAATTTCCCATAAACACAAAAACTTGGTAGCAATACAATCACACTACTATAAGAAATACTATGAAAAATATTAGTTAACATTGCTAATTTTGGAAATTCTTTATCTCTCTTCAATAAAATATATCACCAGTTTAAAGTTTGAAAAAGGATGCCTAATAAGGTAATACTTAATTCACCTGAGAAGCTATTTAGGATGAAAACTAAACATGGTAAAATGCATTAGAAACTGAACACTTCACCACACTTCTTATTCTCTTATCATATGGAAAAGTAATATTTTCCAGGAAATCAACAACTCATCTACAACCACCCTTTTTTCCTCCGGTACTGTCTGTCAAGCCTACTCATACACTCCTATACTTGACACAAAACTGACAGCACACGTATGGGAAAATCAGCAGATATTCAAGCCTTTATTTCTTATATTTATGTCAACAGTAAGCTGTGGAATTTTTTTCCTGCAGCAGTTCTCACAGGTATGCTTTTCCTTCCCAGGAATAGTTTCCTAAAGAACTTTTTTTCCCACCACCCTCAGTTTAAAAATCAGTTTTGTGCTTGCATCTGACAGGTGAATGCCAGCTTCTCATGCATGTGACTTTTTGCTTTATTCTAGCATTCTGCATTCAACAGGCCATGATCAGTCACCCATTTTGCTTCTGATACCACCTCTGTGACACAGCTGAGACTGTCTGTCAGTGTCAACTATTTGAAAAGACAAACTCTGAGCTGATGGTGTATGAGCCACTTGTATGGTTCCTCCCACACTTCATCTTCAATGTACAACAGACATATTGCAGAGGAAAGGCCACTCCCAAGCAACCCGAAAACATGGCTTTCTAGGAGTCAGGGTTTTACATTTCTCTTTTATTTAACAGATGGTATAAACAATGACAGAAATAATTGCTAAGGCAACTTACCTCCATTAATGGCAACTTCCCCCAGGCAGTTATTTGGCACTTTAGGAGCACAGCGTTTGTGACAATTGAATCTACAGTCTGTTAAAAAAAAAAAAAAAATAAACACAAACACACAACAAAACCAACCAACCAACTAAACAAACAAATATGAAGAGATTAAATTTATTTCTCTTTTTCTGTAACAGAATTATAATTTTTCCTGCTATGCAGTCTAGATGCATCAAGCCCTACCATTTCACTCATACAAAGTCAACATGTCCAGAGAGCATTCCTTAGCCTGGCTGCATGCCACCCACCAGTGGAATGCACAGGATGAAGATGCTACAAGTGTGCTCCCCTGAAGGGGAAAGAAAGCACCACTGAGGGTAAGTGGGTGGCAGCACTAGCTGCAGCCCAAGTGTATGGTTGGCTCTTCTATGAGAGCCATCAAGAGACCCGAGTGACTGCAAAGCCAGAGGCTGCTTTTATAGTGAAAGAAGCAGACTGGGCTGCAGTACAGCCAACATAGCTTAAATGACTGACTCCAAATCAGATGATGAAGACCGAAAATTGAAACAGGAGAACCCTTGCCAACAATTGTAAGCAAGAAAATGCTGCTTCTTTGCATCACAAAGCAATTGCTAGACAGCTTTCAGTGGAGAGATCCTTCAATACCTTCCTTACTCCATCCATTTTTATTTCACCTCTACCTCTACTTTTTTCATATGTGCAAGCAGCACTTTATTAGATGTCATCTAAACTGTTTTCTTTTGGCTTATGAACACATTTTACTTAAACTAAGAGCTGTAACTTATTGACACACCTGGAAAAGCAAAGAGCCAGGAAGGAAGAAATACACTAAGGATGTCTATATCCTTGTAATTATTTAACTTTGAATTGATTCAAAATCCAACTGAGGTACAGCAGTGCCTGTAAACTGTAGGTAAATACATATTTTTTAATCAAGTTAATATTTATGTTACTGGGATTCAAAATGAACTGAAACAGATGATGCCTTCACAGAGATTGTGCTTTGTTAAATCACAACAGAATCACATCTTACAGTGAAATGAATGCAACTTTGAATTCTTGCAGGGTGTTAGTTCAAAGAAGTAAAACAAAGTATACTGATTAATTCTATGATAGTTATTGTCTATTTTAATAGAATGTAGGGGATTTTAAGGATCTGTTAGCCAACATTATCTCACACCAGGGCATGCACAACAACACTTTGTATTTATGGACACTCCAGCTGGCTAAGGTGAGCCAGCAATCTAGGCTACAATCCAAGGGGCTTGATTCACTTCAGCATCTGCTAAGGTACAACCTCATGAGACTTGAGAGCATATTAGTCACATTGAAAAAATGTTTGTTTAAATTCTCATATAAGATCATCTTACTTCCATTACAACTACCACAAAACCCTGAATTGCTGGAACTCAGGCACATGCTTCAATTCAAGCATAAGTCTGCAGATTGAAACAATGAAGATAATAATAGAGTCCTTTGTGTTAGCTATTCTGCTGTAACTGCTTGTGAGCACACGTCCACCAAGTGCCAAATATAAGACAATTTACACCTGAGTGAAAAAGATGTGAACTGCTGCAGATATACCGCAGAGTAAGAACAGAGAGCCATGCAGCCAACTCCTGCAGAACAGCCAGCACTGTCATTTGGGTTCCAGTTTAATCCAATGTAATTGTACATGTGTTTACACTTAGTTTAGTGAAGAAATCATGAGTAAGGCTACATAATAACTACTCCTATGCTGATTTACTGAATATATTATGCTTAGCTTTAAAGATCCTAAAGGGTGTTTACTTACCTTTGCACTGCAAACCCTGCCTAAAAAGTCCTTTGAGAAGCTTCTTACAGTACTGGCAAACTGTTGGTCGTGTGTAGGAGTGGATGACAAAAGTGTGAGGCACTTTAACCTTGGACATTAAGATTTTGTCTAGCTGAATAGGTCTTCCAATGTAGGACTGTGAATTTGATCTCTTCTCTCTCCCAGTGAATGATTCTGAAGGTGTCTTTTGCTGTGAAATAGAGAAAAGAACATTTGAAAAAAATATGATTTATTAATTATTTGGTATCATATTCATACATACCTTAAGAACACTAAGTCATATGTAAAAGCACTTACATTAATTTTTATGACAAATTAATAAACATGCAACATATCCTCAGGCCGTTTTTCAGAAATTGGATTGGTATCAAACAGTATCTTTGCCAACACTACATTTCACACTGTGGAAGAAATGGGTTTTTATTTTTTAATCAAAATGAAAATATTCACTGAAGATTTCTCAGAAAAGCATATTGCATTCCAATAAAAACACAAACCATTTTTATCTCTCTTATTTGCTCTTTTCTTTCCAGGGTAACTTTGAAAGGCTGTATTTTTTTTTGCATAGATGTTAAGAAAAATACCTTAATCTCTGTGCGTGCAGGTTTTGATAGAAAACAGATTATTATTTTCCATTCCCTTTATTTATAATGTTTGCTATCACTAACTGTATCACATTTAGATTATGTACTATAGATCACAACAGGTATTTAAATGAATATATATAAATATGTATGAAGTGAAACATGGGGTCTAAAGTATGGAATCCAAAGAATCCCTGAAAGAAACTAATTACCTTAATTTCTCCACTAAATTAATTTATATGTAAATATGGTAACTACCCTAGGAAACAACTGACCCAGAAAACTGCCTTCTCTTAAGAACTGCCCTTAAGAAACAACTGAAGTACATCCACAGCTAACATGGAAAGAAAAAAAAAAAAAATGGCAAGCTGTAGCTTGATAATTTAAACCTCAAGATCTTCTTGCCACCATCTGCAAATAATCTGATAACTGAAGGCTAGAAAATGAGTCATTCCCAGTGAGCCTGAACTGCTCAAGATGATGTAGTAGCTGAAACTGCATACTGGCCTAACTTGAAAAAGTGTTTTGCTTTAAACTACTAATTTTATAGGAAGTTCTTCTTCTGAGTAAGGCTGATTGATTTATTATTCCCTGGTCATCAAAATATAAAAATACATTTCTCTGTGCTTCTGTCTGAGAATCTCACAGTCTTGGCAGTAAAGAAGTATCTGAAAGTAACTCATATAGCAGAAGAACTTTGCCTTCATAGTGTATTTGCTGGGGTGGTGGTGGGGGAGTTTCTTCCTTTCAAAGTTACATAGGTTTCTTACCACGAAGATCAATTCTTTTGGTTATACTGTAGAACCACCTGTCTTTCCAAAGAAGCATATGCAATAAATTTGCTGAACATTAGAGCTACCCTGCTAATTGACAGCAATGCCAACACTACATGCTTATCCACTGTATAAATGTAGCCCTGTTAAATCAAGGAAAAATACACAGACTACATTGTATGAGCCAGGTACATATGGTGACCCTAAACAAACTAGACTGAAACAAGTATAAGAAAGCATCTGCCTTTTTTGTTTTCATAAATGAGAGTGGGAAAAGTAAGAGTACATACTTGGATATTATGTGTTTACTTCCTGACTTTTAGATCTTTATGCTCTATAAAGCACTTACACATATGAACAAAGCCCCAAACTGGTCTCAGTTTATAATTTAATATTTGTTAGTTAGCAATATTGTTTGCCTAATATTTCCCAGGCAGATTGCATTAAGTTTACGAAGTCAACAAGAACACGACTTTGGAAGGCAGGGCAGAAGCCCAGCAGGAAGGAAAGAATGAGCCCACATATACAGTATAAACTACATTGCTCAGCTTGTGCCAACTCTCTGCAAATGACAGTCCTCAGTACTCGTGGACAAGACAAATCTCACAGGGGGAGACAGAAATACTCGTAGTCTTCTCAGTCTTCTATGCAGAATAGGGATGGTGTTGGCCCAGACTCATGCTCCTTCAGTGTCAATGCAGTGCCTTTCAAGACACCTAGCTCTGAATTTGCTCCTCAGCCTTCACAAGAACAGCTTTATATGTGATGTACTGTATTTTAATATAAGTACTTTCTTTTTTAATAAAGTAATTCTTTAATGGTTTGCTTTAACCCCAGTCACCATCTGCAAGGCATCAGTCACAACGCCTTGCTGTCTTTGTCTTGAATATGGACATTTGGCGGACTTCTAACATGTAATCACATTATTCTCTTAAAATGTACTTTAACTGAAAAGGAGTGAGTATCTTAGGGGCAAAGAATTCTATTGTTCGATTTCATTATGTCACTACAACAAACTAATATTTCAGTTTACTCTTCTTAGCACTAGAGCTATTTGACAATCCTACTCTTGTCTGAAGTATGAGCGATTCAAGTATCTCCTAATGTTATAATCTCTCTTAGAACTTTAATATCATCTACATTAAGTCTTTGTATTGTCATTGCTTGCCTTCATTTTCTAAATTATTGCCAAATCCAAAATTATTTTGGCAACTGAATACTGCTAAAAGCTTTTTAAAAGTCCAAATTACTTATACCTAGTTATCCTGATGCTCAAAGGAGTTTAGAAAGCTGGTTTAGCCCAGTTCTTCACACCAGATGCCTTGCTGGTTTTACAAACTTCAGTAGTGTTGCCAAAATGTATTGTGACTAATCTTAGGCACTTACTCTCGAAAAAACACTCATCATACCATCAGCTTTGATCAAATACAAGTTACCGTTGATAAAGCTTTTGTCCTGTTGTTTATCATATTTGTGTCATGAAATTTTTGTCAGTCAAAGCACAGTTTTGAAGGAGTTACTTCAAGTCTCACTTCATATGGCTGCCAAGTAATGCTAGACAATAGACGATTAACTACATTTTTGCTAGTAATTTAGAACTGTTCTCTGCAGTTCAAGTGGTAATGCATACTAAACAAAAGACAAAACATTGGAAGACCTACTGCAGGATGTCAGTCTTCAAGACTAGTCCCTACTTTAATTTTTTAACATGATGTTAATACTTAAACTGCTGCTTCTATTTCTGTTAAAAATTATATACTGAGAATGCATAACAAGATTAATAACAAATGAACACAACAATTTCACCACTTTCACCTCAAAACAAGTGAAAATAAATAGACAGCCCCAAACTCACCCTAATATATTCTTTGTAGGTAGTATCTGTCAGCTTTTTCTATTTACAGTCCAATTTACATAAAAAGAATTTCAGCTTTTCCTTGCTATTCTGCAAGCAGTGGACTGCTATGCAATTCTTCATTTACAGTGGCTTCAGGTCAAGTCAGAGGTAATGCTGAGTTTCACCTTCTCCCATACTACAAAAGACATCATCAGTCACAGACCTGGTCTCTCTCCTGAATGCACAGGCCTGATACGACGGACTCACTCTCCTTCCCTCTTCAGCAGTGCCTGCTCAGAATTAGCAAGGGAAGGGAGGCTGGTGTCAGAGAACTCATGGCAGCAGCACCCAGAGCATCACTCCAGACCCCTCTGATGACTGAATGACTAGGAGGAGTGTCTCCCCCCTCTTGTCCGTGATGAGCTTCTCCTCCCAGTATCTTCCAAACCTCCTGTCAATATCCCTCAACTTTAACTTCCAGCACTTCCAGCATCAGGCAGATGCCTCCATTTAAAGCCCCTGGAAGGAAAGAAAACCAGGAACTATCCTGTTTTCACTGCAAAAGAAAGAGTCTCTTCCACAAAGCACCTTCTTCAGCTGGTTTTCCTGGTTTGTTAGAAAGAGAAATTAATTTTTCCTGGTAGTTAGCCAGACTACTGACTCAGCAAAACTGGAAACTTCCCAGGAAATGATTGCTTAACTGGATTGCACCATGGAAACTAACAGCCTGTGCAGCTCCAAACACTAAATAGTCTTTCATAACAATCATCCCAGCAAGGTAATCTATACTTTAACAGCTCATGGTATGATTTTCCAAGTGACCACATACACATATCCTGGGCTGCATCAACGTAAGTGTGGCCAGCAGGTCAAGGGAAGTGATTCTCCTCTTCTACTCCACTCTCATGAGACCCCACCTGGAGTACTGTGTCCACCTCTGGAGCCCCCAAAACAAGAAGTACACAGACTGATTGGAGCAGATCCAGAGGAGGGCCACGAAGGTGATTAGAGGGTTGGAACACTTCTCCTATAAGGACAGGCTGAGAGAGCTGGGGTTTTTCAGTCTGAAGGAAAGAAGGCTCCAGGGAAACCTTATGTCAGCCTTCCAGTATCTGAAGGTGACCTATTAGAAAGCTGGGAAAGGACTTTTTTTTCAAAGGTTGTAGTGATAGGACAAGAGTTAATGGCTTCAAAGTGGAAGAGTGTAGATTTAGATTAGATGTAAGGAAGTTCTGCACTATGAGGGTGGTGAGACACTGGAACAGGTTGCCCAGGGAAGCTGGACTTTCCATCACTGGAGGTGTTCAAGACCAGGTTGCATGGTGCTTTGCACAACCTGGTCTAGTGAGAGGTGTGCCTGCCTGTGTCAGGGAGGTTGCAATTAGATGGTCTTCAAGAACCTTTCCAACTCTAGCCATTCAATGATTCTATGAAGAAATGTGCAGACATTTAATTGTACAGATGTCCAACTAAGCCAGTGGTTAAGTTCAGAGACTTCAATTCAGTTATGCCTTAAACTGTGAGAACATCTAATAGAATCCAGTGTTTGCTTACTCTTTAGTTTTGAAAAAGTTTGGTTTTAATTCCAAGAAGGAGGAGGTGCCAAACTTTTGCCTAACATGGAGCATTCTGCATGACTTACTAGCCGATGCCTAGCCCCTCCTTGTTTGATTTGTTTGAATTCTTAGAATTTACTAAAGCTAATAATGATTTATCTGGTGAGCTTTGTTAAAAGCTTTTCAAGGGCACAAAAGTAGCTGGAAACACGAAGTCATTGTATAGAACCCTGTCACTGCAGGAAGGAGATAGTCCTCCATATAACTGCTACCCCAAAGGTAAGAATACCTCAGCAGGAGATCCTCCTGGTCATTTTTCCACTGCCAAATGCAATTAAGAAACTGAGATAAAAACTGATTCCTGCCAATGGATTCAACTATTCTTATTACCTGGGTGAGTCTGACTGTCTTCCAGCACCCCCCCAAGCACAGAAATCTAA